GAGATAAAGCTCAAGCAGTGCTGGAGGGTATAAGCCAGATGGATGAGCAGGTGTCCCAGACTGTTTTGTCCATCTCTGTGCACCAGCACCTCAAACTCAGCTCAGACCTGTCATGAGGGTCCCACAGACAAGCTGATCATCAGCATGATGCACACCTGCTGCTACATAAGGGGGCAAGAAGGAATGGCTTTGGCACCTAGGTGGTCTACCTGGGTGTCCTTTACTACTAACTTGACCGATTTTTACAATAAGTAGACAAGTACGTTAGGCATGACCTGCAGAGGACATGATAAACAGGGGATCCAATTCTAAGGGTCTAGGGCATCCCACTAGAGGAAGGAAAAGCCTACCCCTAGGTCATGGATGAATCTGCTTGGTACATTCGGCTGCACTGTAGCCCTACTCCCTCTGCCCAAACCTGGTTCCTTCTTTTCTCCAGCAGGTATGGATCCTAAGAATGCTCCATAATAAATTTCCTGTGTCGCTATTCCCATTTCAGAATTTACTCCCTGAGAGATCCAACCTATAGCAGTATTCAATGGAAAACCAAACTGCCCTCACAGACCTATAGTCTAATGATACATATATGTATGTGTGGTAATATATGGTTAGAATGAAGTTTTATTTTTATTTTCAAAATATTTCCCCCTTCACTATTTCAGCAAATTTGAATTAGAGAAGTGATATCTTTTAAAAAATATATTTGAACTGGAAGATAAATGTAAAAATAAATAATTATTAGGCCGGCCCGTGGCTCACTCAGTAGAGTGCGGTGCTGATAACACCAAGGCCACAGGTTCGGATCCTATATAGGGATGGCCGGTTTGCTCACTGGCTGAGCGTGGTGCTGACAACACCAAGCCAAGGGTTGAGATCCCCTTACCAGTCATCTTTTAAAAAAAAAAATATAATAATAATAATAATTATTATTATTTAGGGTGGTTGTGCAGAAAAGAGTTAACAAAGCAGGCTTGAGACTGCTGTCCTTGGAAAAGCCTGCTTGTGAGGTTGGCCCTTGGCTGGGGTCTGGGAACTTACTGGTAAACAGTTCTCTACACTGATATAAAACCTTTCCTAAGTGATAAGACTGGCTTTCTGCACCTACAATGTTTGTACAAACAATATGGTTTATATTGAACACCTGGTTTCCTTCTGGGCATCTGGAATTTTGGTACACGTTAGGCAGAGGATGCAGATGTGATCTGCTCCGAATAAAAGCCTTGGGTGCTAAGTATTTAATGAGCTTCCCTGGTAGAAAAACTTCATGTGCGGTCATACTTGTCACAGCTTGTTGCTGGAAGAATTAAGTGTGTCCTGTGTGACTCTACTCAG